GACTGAAGATTCTTTTTGTTGAGGATCAGAGTTTTTTGGAAATAGAAATCTTTTGTAACAATAATGTCAATTTGTTTGTTTTAATAAAAAATAAATAAGAAGTGATACTGACCCCAAACTTTTGAAGGGCAGTTTTTGTTCAGAAGGCACATTTTGAGCATTCGCGTTTCTACACAGGTGGACTCTTCTCTGTCATTTCTGGATGGTTTCGTGTCGGAGGCTTTGGCCGCAGGAGCCGCACCTTATAAACCTCCTCATCAGAGACAAGAAGAGCTTTCTGAGGAGAGAGGTACAGACATTACTAACCTATAGGAAACTCTATACTTGTTTGTTTATCCTGCCCTTAAAGGGATAGTTCACCCAAGAATTCACTTTTTTTTTTTGTCATTTACTCATCCTTCTGTCATCCCAAACTTGTATGACTGACCTTTTTTTCAGCACTGAATCTGGAGCCGTACAGTTTTTCTCTGCCTGTAAGTTTATCATCATGTAGCATCACTGATAGACAGTCTCCACCGCTACTGTCCGTCAGTTCAGGACTTTCGGGCAACAGCATTGAACTCTCTCAGAAGGAAGGGTGGGTATCTGAGTGGCACGCTGTCTTTGGTTGTTCACAACTGCTAAAAAGTATGGAGACAGTACAATTTTATGGTTAAAGGGGTGTGCATGAGACTGACATGACACCTTCATAACCATGACATATGCCTTGAATATGAAGGAGGGTTTATGCATGTTTGTGACAACTGTCATTAAGTGTCTTTCGCTCAATAATGGCATTTTGAATGCAAATATGACATCTTGACATAAACCAATACATCATAACCTGTCAGTGTCTTTGTTCTAAGTTAAACTGTCATGTGGTTGGTTTTTACATTGGCTGTCATGAGGCATTATAACTGTGTTATGAATATTTTTCGTGACCTCATCTACAGTGGTACTAATTGAATTTGTCATTAAAGAGTTATAATGGCTTCATGACAGCCAATGTCAAAACCAACCACCTGACAGTTTAATGTAATGTTAACCAATAAAGCTAGGTGGTTTCTTAAGTTTGATAATTAATCTGCTATGTCATGTTTATGACAGGTCGTGTTGTCCTAGTAAGGTCAAGTTGTCGTGACAAAGACACTGAGAGGTTATGATGTATTGGTTTTTGTCAAATTGTCATAACAAAGACAATGTCACATTTCCATAATGTCATAACTGAGCGAATGACACTTAATGACAGTTGTCACAAACATGCATAAAACTTCCTTCATATTCATAACATATGTCATGATTATGAAGGTGACATGTTAGTCTTATGCACACCCCTTCAAGTAAAGTGTTACCAATTTTATTTAATTTTTTATAAAAGAGTATGCATCAGAGAATCCTGAAATATCACTGTTTCCACAAAAATATGAAGCAGGAACTGTTTTGATAAGATTCCTGAGCAGAAATTCATCATATTTGAGTGATTTCTGAAGGATCATGTGACACTGAAGACTGGAGTAATGATGCTGAAAATAACAGGAATGAATTACATTTTACAATATATTCCAGTAGAAAACGGTTATTTTAAACTGTAATAATATCTCATAATATTACGGTTTGATTCAGTTCCAGCGCTCTGATTCTTGAGGGTGTGAAGAGAGTTTGGGGGAAAGATGGCTATCTCCCACAAAAAGAAACCGCAGCAACAGCACCTCCAGTGGACGAACCCAGCATTGCAGCCCAGCAGGAGGCAGCAGAGCGAATAGAGCCGCAATCGGAGCCGTCAGCGCAAAACCAGTACAAAAACCAGCTGGCTTCCTCTTTGTTTGTTGGTTTGGCAACCCAAAGCTCCATATCTCTGGTGAGAAAATGATTTTACGACAGATTTCATCTTGTAATACAAACGCAGGTCTAATTCAACTCAAACCACATTCAGAAGTAGTCAGAAATGCTAATTGTTCCGTTTCCTCTCAGCTGGGAAAATCCGAAGCCCCGCCCCCTCGCTTTCGGAAAAAGCCCCGCCCACACGAGTCATCATCATCGTCATCAGGCGCCAGCGAGAGATCCTCAGACGACTCCTCGCGCTCCTCGCATAACAAGACGGACAGCTTCTTGAATGGCAGTTTGCTGGAGGAGGAGCCCGTCACATCCACATCCACAACAACCAATGGCCTGAGTCAGAACACACACACGGAAGGAGAGCGGCGCGCAAACACGTCTCAGATACTGGGCAGCGATATGGTTGTAGTGCGGCCCAACACGATACAGGACAGACATCCTCCGTCTGTGTCTTCAGATCTGACCGCGCTGTTACCCTCTGAAATCAAAGACCTACCTCACTCTGATGTCATCAGCCTGACCTCTGACCCCAGCCTGTCTCTGGCCTCCTGCCGTATGTTCAGAGATGAAGCTTTGCTGCTCGTCATCTTCATATGTAACTGCACGGAAACTGTAATAAAAGATGTTGCCGTGCAGCTGACCTGTGAGGAGCTGGAGGTGTGTAAAGTATGTGTGTGTGTGTGTGTATATATAATGAAAAAAAAAACAAAAACATTTGCTGATAATTTACTCACCCCCATGTCATCCAGGATGTCCATGTCATTCTTTCTTCAGTCGAAAAGAAATTAAGGTTTTTGATTAGGGTTGGGTATCGTTTGAATTTGAACGATTCTGATTCCGATTGCGATTCCTTGTTTCGATTCCGGTTCCTAACGATTCTCGATTCCGATTCTTTTAAGAGGCAGGGTCAAAAAAGTTTAGCTAACCTTGCTAACCAACGGTCTTTCTGAAGGAAATACTCCTTCTGTCACAAATACTTGTCACAAATTTAGCATTTTGCAGAGATTTCGTTAATTTTTAGAAAAGTGAAGCCACACTTTGGACCACCGACGTAAGCTACTCATGTTCGACTCGCGCGGTTATGCCAACACTTCCGGTAGACGCTTCTTCGTTGGTGTTGTTCAGCGGTTTCTTCTTCCGCTCGGCGGACTGTGAATATCGAAAGTAGGAATTGAAATTTTTACTTTTGAACGATTCCGGAAAAAACGAAAAGTTAGTCCCGATTCCAATCGATACTCGATTCTCGATACCCAACCCTATTTTTGATGAAAACATTCCAGGATTTTTCTCCATATAATGGACTTCAATGGGAACCAAACGGTTCAAGGTCCAAAACTGCAAACTGCAAACTGTTCAAAGTGCTTTAAACGACTCCAGATGATGAATAAGGGTCTTATCAAGCGAAACGATTGCTCGTGTGCGTTTGTGACTCTCCTGTTCAAACTCGTCCATCAAAATGAACAAATCTTTTCCCGAGTCAACTCGTTCATTTCGTTCGTTGAATGAACCAAATTACACGAAAAAAGATTCGTTCATTTTGATAAATGAGTTCAAGGCGAGCATTTGAGCTTATAAAACTTAAACTTTGTTATTTATTTATTAAATGAGGGTTCGTTTCACTTGATAAGACCCTTATTCATCGTCTGGAATCATTTAAAGCCCTTTGAACAGTTTGCACTGAAACTATCTTTTGGACCTTGAACCGTTTGGTTCCCATTGAAGTCCATTATATGGAGAAAAATCCTGGAATATTTTCATCAAAAACCTTCATTTCTTTTCGACTGAAGAAAGAATGACATGGACATCTTTGATGACATGGGGGTGAGTAAATTATCAGCAAAAGTTTTTTTTTTAAAGTGAACTACTCCTTTAATACAAAATGTCAATCTTTTGTCCTAGACGGCTAGTTTGAGAGGGAATGTCGTAGACTGTCTGGAGGGCAAGAGAACGTCTGTGTGTCATTACGCTCTGCTGATGGACGAGCCTCACACACACGTGTCCTTTACCGGCACCGTCTCTTATCAAACACAGCCAGGACACACAAACACACTCCCTTTCTCTGGGACACTGTCCACAACGGACTTTATCAGGTAACGTGTGTCTGAAAATACATACCTTACTGTAGTTTAATTTTTTACGTGCACTAAATATAAAATGAAAGTGAAACACAAATGACATCATGTGTATTTAGTAGAGACAGACCGATATATCGGCAGGCCGATATTAGGCATTTTCCAAAATATCGGTATCGGCAGTTATAATGGCCGATAAATGAATATTTCTAAAATAAAATAAATAAGTACAAATAACTAATGTTAGGGAAATCTGTTAATGTTATGTTGCGCGTTTCTGAAAATTTTTTTTAAAAAAAATCGGCCGATATATCGGATTTTAAAACCAACAAATATTTGTATCGGTATCAGCCTTCAAAATCCTTTATCGGTATATTTGTTTGTGGCTGTGACTTGTTTTCTCTCTGCCACACACAGGCCTTTGGTTGTAACCACAGAGGAATATGGGAAACTCTGGCTGTCTCTGTCTCATGACGTCAAACAGAATCTGAAACTGCTCACAGATGCTGGTGGTGACCCGCTCAAAACCACCCTGAACGCTCTCAAAGACGCCCTACAGCTACATGTAGTGGACATCATCGGTAAACACAACAATAGCTTCCATTCTTCAGTTATTTTTCAACATGCACCATAATTGACTGTGATTTAATTGCGTGTGGCTCTTTCAGGCTCCGAGGGAATCGTAGCGTGCCGTCTGCTCAGTGGCGCCCCCTGTCTCCTGCACTGCAGAGTGAACGGCTCGGCTCTGGCCATGTGGCTGCGCTCTCCTCATCCTTCTCTCCCAGACTGCATCATGTACCACTGCCAGAGAGCTCTCGCAGAACACTAACACCGAAACACCCGGCCAAACGTCCAGGGAAGCTCCCGGACTAAATGTTTTCAGAAGTCGTGCAATGACTGTTCGAAAGCAATACCTGTGTATTGCGTGTCTTATGCTCCGACTAATCATTTTAATGATATATATATTTTTTTGTACACACTTACAAATACATATAGTAAAAGGTATTTATTGATTTTAAACATTTCCAGCCTGTGGTTTGGTCTGTTATGGTTGGTGTACTCATTCTTCAGTGTTTATTTGTTCAAGGGGAAAAAAGAAATATGGCTTTCAAATTGTTTTCAAAGTGTCATTTTATTGACTTGACAATTTGTTAGAGCAGAAAAAGTAGTTATTTTTTTATAAAACAATATGAAATAAAAATGGTCCATTTACGTATTTTAAATGGTTAATTGAACATTATTTCGAAAGTCATCATAATCTTTCATAAAACCTTTCTTTTGGATTGACATTACCAAGCCCTCATTTTCAGCCCCTTACTCCGTTCTTTTATCTAACGTCCACTCTTCAGCATCCAATCAGTTGCTTTTCTCATTGAATCTGCTATTTAACTCAGAAATGGTAAAATAGGATGTGATTGCCATTTAATGTGGACCTTTTACATGTTTAGCTTGGATGCAGCATTACAGATGTATACAGACTAAATTCACTACAGTAAATAAGGTACTAGAACTATTTCCTATAATCACTTAAGTTAACACACATGTTGTGTACAGTAGATTAGTATAATGTAAAGATCAGTACACATGATAAAACAGATCATTCAAATGGTTTTGTTGTCTTTGCCATTGTCGGTCAACAAGCTACTTTTCTTGCACAAATGTTGACATCCATATATTACCTGTGTGTGCCGTTACCACAGGCCTACTTGTTTGCGACGTTAAGTTTGAGGTAAGTTTAACTAAGGCTTGAGTTTATTAAGTCAAATTGCTCAAAAATAAAAAAATAGTAATGTGATCTTAATGTGACAACCCAGTGTAAAGCTTTTAGGTAAAAGGAAATTACTTTTTTTCTTCGGTATATCAAAATAGTGAATGGCAAAAATTGCGTCTATCGCTTTCAGGTTTGGCTGTCCGTTGTTTCTCCGCTGATGTTCTTCTGAGCTCGTGGGATGAAGCGCATGGCCAGGCAGTCGGGATCCTCTTCTACGGGCTGCATGGAGAGGTTGTTGGTCTGTTTGATGGTGCTGACGGTGCAGCCGTGACGAGGACAAACCGTGAACCTCGACAACAGAGTCACCAGGATGGCCTTCGTCATAGCCATGGCTATGTGCTTCCCAACGCAGGCCCGTGGGCCGCAGCCGAACGGCTGGAAGTAACGACTGGGAACCTGAGAGAGAAGTAGAGTAATGGTTCCATAGTAATAACCATTTTCATATACAAAGGTATTTACTTTAAGGAAAACTGTAACGTATCACCATAGTACATAATTTTAAAAAATATATATATATAATGACTGCATTCATATTTAAGGCCATTTACATGGTGTCAAAAGGTACATAATTCAAATAATACCATATTATTGCCATGGTTATTAACATTAACGAAAAAAATACTTAAAATAAAATATTTTTTAACTGAAGTAAAATAAATTATAAAGCAACTTCAAGTTTCATTTGAGCTAGTTGACAAGGCAAAACTAAAAAGATAGATAGATGATAGATAGATGAACGGATAGATGGATAGATAGATAGATAGATGGATGGATGGATGGATGGATGGACGGATAGATGGATTGATAGATAGATGGATGGATAGATGAATGGATGGACGGATAGATAGATAGAGAAAGAGAGAGATGGATGGATGGATAGATGGACGAGTAGATAGATAGATAGATAGATAGATAGATAGATAGATAGATAGATAGATAGATAGATAGATAGATAGATAGATAGATAGATAGATAGATGGATAGATGGATAGATAGATGTATGGATGGATGGATGGCCAGATAGATAGATGGATGGATAGATGAATGAATGGATGGATGGATAGATGGACGGATAGATAGATGGACTGATGGATGGATGGATACTTTTTGGAAGGATATTTGAGATTTCACTTATTTTCAATTTCCCTCCAGAATATGTTTTTTTTTCCTAGGTTTTACAGATCAGTATTGTTCACTCTGTTATTGGAAAAATGTACAGCATATTTGGATAATAGTGAAAGAATATGAATAATTGGTATAAAATCTACAAATGCACCAATTTGTGCATAAAAAAACCCTTTATGTGTGATCTTACTTGATCTTAAAACTTTGATTCTCCCAGTACTTACGCTGCTCTCAAAGTTCTCCAAGTTGAATTCATTGGGTTTTTTGAAGAACTCGGACTTGTGCATGCGTCCGATGTTCAGGATGAGGTTTGTCCCCTTTGCCACCCGGTAGCCATCGATGTGGTCATCCTCCAGAGCCCGTCTCATGATGAAGTCCACCACCGGATGGAACCTCAGAGACTCCTTGATGAAGCGCTCCAGTACGTTCAGGTTTTGCAGGTCGGCCGACTGTACGTCCCGCTCACCTGAGAGGGCAAGAAAGACGAGTCATAGTGATGTACATCTTTTATCATGCACAAAGTATCACTTCTTACTGGTCCAATTGGTCTAGATTGGACTACTAGCTGTTGGGACCTGGTAGACCATCTTGGGCCTACTGTAGCTACCATGTTCCAATCCCCATGTTGTACCCATGTTTACTGTACCTATCTGAGACCGTATCTCCTGTACTATCTGCTCTTCCACGGCAGAGTTCTGCTTAAGTAGCAGAAGCATGAAGAACAGACTGATGGAGAGCGTGTCTGGAGCGGCGATCACCATCTCCAGCACACACTGCCTCACGTCATCCGCACACAGCTCGCCGTGGTTCTACAGACACAGTTAACACGTTCTGTTGCTTTAATGTAACAGATGGTACATAAATGTAGAGTTTGTGTTTGTGAACACACCTGAGCAAATATAAGCTCCGTTGCGAAGTCCGTCTCATCCAGCTTCTCCGTGTTGTTGATGGCCTGTCGCTTCTGCTCCACAAGTTTTTCCATTTCATCCTGCAGCTCTTTTCTGCAAGAAAATACTTCTTAAAGGGGATGCATGAAATTAAATCTAGATATTTTTTAAAATAAATGTACTGCATAAAGATAACATGGTGCTTTAAAGGATTTCTGCCACACAATCCTTTCTATCACATGCCCTTTTTCAAAATGGCCTCCAAATCATTTTCAAAAGTGTGAAATGCTTGATAAAATGACTTTTTCGCTTTTACCAGAATACATGCAAAAATTGCTCACAGGACCTTTAACTGTAAGTATTCACTTGTCGAAAATTACCATTTGTTCAAACTACGATCTACAGCAGGGGTTCTCAAATCTGGTTCTCGAGGTCCACTTTCCTGCTGAGTTTAGCACTAACCTTGATCTAGTAATGCTGAAGACATTGATTAGCTTGTTAAGGTATGTTTGTTTACGTTTGTATGGCAGCTTGTTTCCGCCTCTGAATAAAAAATAAATAATTCTGACTTTTTATCCCGCAATTCTGACTTTATTTCTCAGACTTGCGAGATATAAAGTCAGAATTGCATGATAAAGTCGCAATTGCGTGATATACTATAAAGTCACAATTGCGAGATATAAAGTCAGAATTGCGTGATATGAAGTCGCAATTGTGTTATAAAGTCAGAATTGTGAGATATAAAGTCAGAATAGCGAGATATAAAGTCAGAATTATGAGATAAAGTCAGAATTGCATGCTATAAAGTCAGAATTGCGTGATATAAAGTCAGAATAGCGTGATATAATGTCGCAATTCTGAGAAAAAAAGAAGTGCGACTTTTTATCTCACAATTCTGACTTTTTTTCTCACAATTGCGAGTTTACATCTCGCAATTCTGACTTCATAACACATAATTGCGAGTTTATATGTCGAAATTCTGACATCTTTTTTCGGAATTGTGAGATATAAAGTCACAATTGTGAGATATCAGGCTAATTCTAAGGGGAAAAAAGACTAACTTTTTCCCCCTCAGAATAGTTTAAATCTCACAATTCTGACTTTATATCATGCATTTCTGACTTTATAACACGCAATTGCGACTTTATATCACGCAATTCTGACTTTATATCTCGCAATTCTGACTTTATATCTCATAATTCTGACTTTATATCTCGCAATTCTGACTTTATATCTCATAATTCTGACTTTATATCTCGTAATTCTGAATTTATATCTCACAATTGCGACTTTATATCTCGCAATTCTGACTTTATATCTCATAATTCTGACTTTATATCTCGCAATTCTGACTTTATATCTCACAATTGCGACTTTATATCACGCAATTCTGACTTTATATCTTGCAATTCTGACTTTATATCTCGCAATTCTGACTTTATATCTCACAATTCTGACTTTATTTCTCGTAATTCTGACTTTATATCTCGCAATTGCGACTTTATATTTCACAATTGTGACTTTATATCACGCAATTCTGACTTTATATCTCACAATTCTGACTTTATTTCTCGTAATTCTGACTTTATATCTCGCAATTGCGACTTTATATCACGCAATTCTGACTTTCCATCTCGCAATTCTGAGAAATAATGTCAGAATTGTGAGATGTAAACTCGCAATTGTGAGAAAAAAAGTCGCAATTACATTTATATATTTTTCATTCTATGGCGGAAACAAGCTTCCATACGTTTGGGCCAAAACTCAAGGGCCAGAGATAAAAAAGAACTCAGGCTCTGATCTACAAAAATCTGAGCAGTGCCAATATTGACCCAACAGCAAACACACAAGCTGTAAGTAATCGTTTTTGCTTTAGAAAAATCTTCACCAATCAAAGTAGAGATCATTTGCATAATCCTTAAAGATGCAGTAGCATACATGGATACATTCAGTTGAGTCTGAGGTGGACTCACGCTGCCAGGTGGTGTTTTTTGTACACAAAGTCCAGTCTGAAGAAGACATCTGGCTGAATGAGAACTGTCTGCCAGGTACTGAAATAGCGATGGATCTTTATCAGCAAGTCTTTCTCTGCATTGAACACGTACAAAGAGAGAAGTCAGCGATCTTACTTTCTTTAAATAATGCTTCCAAAAGGTTGTTTTTTTTTCTCAGTGATGCCATAAAATAACAATTTTTGTTTCCCCAAAGAACCATTCAATGGACGTTCTTAAAAGAAGCGTCTTTCCTTAGTGTGCACTGTAAAAAATAATCGTGATTTTAACGGTAAAAGACTGCTAAAAAATGCTACAGTGCAAAACTGTTAATTGGTTAACAGAAAGTTTCCGTACTATATACGGTAAATAACTGTGATATAATTTTACTGTTAAATTTACAGTGAAAGTGAAAAAGAACAAACTCATTGTATAATTTACAGTGAAAAAACGTAAATTGACATTCGCATAATTCCCTGCGACACTTCACATTTTATGTTTTTTTTAGTTCCTCATTGTTTTCTTGTTGTTGTTTTTTTTCTAATCAGTTATATACATTAAGGTTTTATATGTTACATTTAATGTTGTTAAATTAATGTTTATAGCATTTTTATTTCTTTAATTGTGTGCTACCATGATGTGTTTAAAATTGGTGTGAATGATTGCTCATGTGACTGATTGTTGGTTGTCAGTGTATTACAATGGTACAAAACAGATATCAATTTTTCAAAAGGTTGTTATATCAACATTCATCAGAAAATGAAATACAGTTTATTACTGTAAATTTTAAGCTAAGTCTGTAAAACCATTAACTTTCCTACCGTATCTTTAACGGTAAAGTTCTGGCAACCACAGTTGCCGTTTTTTTACCATAAATATTACGGTTTTATTTTTTACAGTGCAATTTAATACTCCAAAGAACCTTTTTCCACTATAAAGAATCTTTTGAGGAATGGAAAGATTTGATAGATGTTAAAGGCTTTTAATGGAACCAAAGATGCTAATAAAAAAAAAAAAAAAATTGTCAGCCTTCTCCTCTGGTAATAGATATATAATAGACCAATCAGATTGAAATAATGTTAATAATGAAATGCTTTTATTGCAGGCTGACCGCTCAGTGGGATTTTTAGGAAGAGTCTATTGGAAACGTCCACCACAATACAGCGCAGAAGATTGAGCACGTCCACGTGTCCTGAGCAGTCCGTGAACTCCTGCAGGACGTCAAGCTGTTTGTTGGTGGCGCTGACACACACATCTACTGACTTCTGGAGACCTGGACCAGTAAGAGCTACACAAATACATAAACAATATATTATTTTGCATGATTCTCTGAAGGAACTAATCTGAGACCAGTGAATAACACCCACCTTTGGTGAAATATGTTCTCACTTTCTTCCACAGTGTGATGTTGCTGTTGAAGATGATGCCTTGTTGAAACATGCCAATGCACTGCAGACCTTTTGTACTGGCAAACCTCCCGACGTAATTATTGCTCTTCAGAACATGATACACGGCGGAGGACCTGAAACAGTTTTAGGGTTTTTTTACACTAAAATTTGACCCCATCCAAAATTGTGCACTCATGCATCGCACTCCTCATTTGAGTCAACAGTGACATAATTGGGCAATAAGGAATGGAGTAGCAGACTGTGTTACAGCGACTATACCAGAAAACAATTTTTCTGCCCCATAGAGTGTGCTATTGAGCAATTTTTGTTTCAATTATGAAATGAACCACAAATTTTATGACCAGACAGCAACTCTGTTCATTAAAAACAGTCAAAATCTAACGCAAAATATAGGCTATATAATATATGAATATGAAGGGAGTTTAAATCTGCAATCATTTGTTAGATGAGATTTTGAGAACTTGCTTGCTGAGTATAACAGTCTCTTCTCCGTTGATCCAAACCCGAGCAATGCTGCCATATTTTTCGTTGTAGTAGTTGCATGCAGTGCCAATTCCCATCCACAGGAACCTACTGTAGCTCAGAACTGGGCCGAGACCCAACCACCAGCCAGGACCTAACAAACACCAAGTAAGGCCACGTTTACACAAAGCCGGGTATTTAGCAAAACGAATATTTTCCCCCTCTCCGTTTTCAAAAATAACATCGTTTACACACCCGCATAAATACGCCATCGAGCGCCATCATAACTATGCCAAACCTATTGGCGGCAGTGTAGGGGTTAAGGATAAAGCCATTCAAGCCAATCAGAATCCTCAGAAACGACAAGAGAGAACCTAAAACGCCGTTTCTCCCAGTTCACACGACAACACATTCAGAAATTTCCACTTTGGCCGGAGTTTTTAGAAATAATCGTTTTCAGTGATATAAACGGCGTTTTCGTGTAAATAAGAGGGCAAAACGCAGAGAAATATCTGCGTTTTCCCATCGTTAGCTAGTTCCCAACCCAGTTAGGTTGCTCCCATGTGAATCTAATTGGTTTGAACTCACCTGGGACTGCTGATTGGTTCTTCCAGTTCTTGGCTCTAAATATTCTGTGCAGCAGAATCACCAGTAACGTTCCCGTCAGCACCAGTAGCGTTCCCTGCACCGCAGAGGTGATGTTTACCGTACCCTTCATGACCTGCTCCATCATCAAGTCATCTACAGGTGCACCTAAACATATAAGTATCTTATTGGAAAATATTGAAAATCGCACTGTATACATTGCACTAGTTTGCTGTTAGCATGTTGCTAAGCTGATGATGTAATAGTACCTATAGTCTTACAAATCACTGGGCAGGAAATTAGCAAGAATTGCACAAATACTGTAGATAAAGTAACTTTAGCACTGAATAGACTTCCCCTTTGTTTTCTTTAAATGTTAAAGCCGTGTGGGTAAAATTGCAGACAGCAGACAGAGAAGAGTCAGTGTTGTTCCACTCGATGTTAATAGCTTCAAACAGTTAATGAGTTGCTGAAGAATGTCTCCCTGTTCGTTTGAGATTAATGTGAGACCATTCTCTACCTTTCTCACACAGAACAACCTCCTGGATTGAGAAAAAAATGTCCTCTCAACTGAGACTGCCCTACTCTCGGTTACTGAAGCTCTGAGACTGACAAGAGCAACTTCCAAATCCACAGTACTTAACCACAAGATCCTTTTGTAAAACCCTAATGACAAAGGGCATCTTCAAAACCACACTCCAGTGGTTCAAGCCTTACTTCTCAGGTCCTTTAGGGTGTCTTGAGGGCTGAGATGTCTAAGTCGAAATATATCTAGCTACTTGGGTGCCTCAGGGCTCAGTGCTTGGACCACTTCTCTTCTTCATCTGCATGTCATCACTAGGATCTGTCATTCTCAAACATGTTTTTTCCTATCACTGTAAAGCCCCTTTCACACAGCGCGTTAATCCCAGGAAATTGCCAGAACGCAAACACGACTCAGGATTGATATCGGCAAAGATGCCGAGTTGGGGACCTAGGAACATTGCCGGGATCAGTCCAGGAACGCGCGCTGTGTGAACAAAAGCCAGGACCGATGCTGTAAAGGGTGCGTCACAGTGATGCCATCATGCCATCATGCCATCATGCCATCATGCCATCGCGTGACTCTATTGCTCTTAAGCCCCTTTCACACAGCGCGTTGATCCCCGAAAATTGCCGGGAAATTGCCAGAACGCCTTCTGTGTGAATGCAAACACTACCAGGGATTGATACCGGGACTGATCCTGGGTTGGGGACCTAGAAACATTGCCGGAATCAGTCCCGGAACACGCGCTGTGTGAACAAAAGCCAGGACCGATGCCGTAAAGGGTGTGTCACAGTGATGACGCTCATGCCATCGCGCGACTCTATTGCTCTTAAGCCCTTTTCACACAGCGCGTTGATCCCTGGAAATTGCCGGGAAATTGCCAGAACGCCTTCTGTGTGAACGCAAACACGACCAGGGATTGATACCGGGACTGATCCTAGGTTGGGGACCTAGAAACATTGCCGGAATCAGTCCCGGAATGCGCGCTGTGTGAACAAAAGCCAGGACCAATGCCATAAAGGGTGTGTCATAGTGATGACGCTCGTGCCATCGCACGACTCTGTTGCTCTTAGAAGGAAGTTTGTGTTCGTCATCAACAAAGAAAGGACGAACAAATGTCTGCAAACTGGAGCGAAGCAGAGACGAGGAGCTCCTCACTATCCGTACTGAAGCTGAGATCGTTCACCAGCTTTGTGGAACGGTATGTGCGTCCGTACATGTTTTCGACGCGTACGTTACACGTCTCATCCTGACGTCGTGTGTCTTCCCGGGATTTTTACGGGTTGTGTGTAAACGCACTCACAGATCCCGGCAAGCACTGGCAGTGTGAATGAACCGAAATCAAACAATTCCGGGACAAATGCTGGGTCACATTATCCGTGTATTTTCTGGAATCTCTGTGTGAAAGGGGCTCTAGTAGAAAGTTTGTGTTCATCATAAACAAAGAAAGGACGAACAAATGTCTGCAAACTGGAACGAAGCAGAGACCAGGAGCTCCTCTCTAATGAACCGAAATCAAACAATCCCGGGACAAATGCCGGGTCACATTATCCGTGTATTTTCCGGAATATCTGTGTGAAAGGGGCTTAATGCTGACGACAGACAACTCTACCTTTCATTCTAGCCAGAGGATCCGACAGTCTCATCCCAAGACGTCAACTAACTGACGCTTTTGACCATACCTCAACATCCGACATTTTAGGGTACCGTTTAATGTCAGTTAGATGATGATCCTGGGGCATCATCCAACTGACGCTTTACCTTGGTAGGTTTAGGTCTGGGGTAGGGTTAGGTTTAGATAGCGTCATCGAACTGACGTTAAAGGGTACCCTTAAACGTCAGATGTTGCCGTTTGGTCAAAAGGGTCAGTTGTATGACATCTTGGGATGAGACTGTGCTGTAGGTGCTTGCATCTAGGCCTGACTGACAGACATTTCTGTCTGGATGAAGGACCACCACCTTCAACTCAACCTTGTGTGGTGCTGGTTGTGGTCTCAGCCAATCCAACACTTCATCACAACTTCTTATTGCTAGAGTTGCCCTGTTTTATTGAGTCTTGCATTGTCAACATCTTGACCAAAATTTGATGCTCCTCTTGATGGAAATAACATCGCAACATTTATTTCCATCAAGAGGAGGATCAGCTTTTGGTCAAGAACTTGTATTGATAATGCAAGAGTCCAGCACTCTGTAAAGTCTCCTCCAGCACATCTCAAAGACTTTCAGTGAATTTAAGATCTGGACTCCTCAGAACCATTCTTTCACAGTTTGAGCCTGATGAATCTTGACATTGTCATCCTGGAATATGACCATGATGTGTCTCCTACATGGTTGTTTTTGAAATGAAAAGCTACACACTCCATTATTTAGGGATAGAATAACTGTTGCCAAACATATAACATGCTAGAAACATAATAATGAGCATTTGCCTATTTAAATCCAAACAGTGACTTTTTTTTGGCCGGTGTATATCCACAGAAGAAAGGACAAATTTTATAAGCTGAAAAATGTAATAAATCATTCTTCATGTAATTGAATTGGTTTCAAAAGTCATTATATGCAAGAGCTTTAATGCGTCCTGTACTTCAATAAACCATATGAAAACTAGATTTGATTTCAGAGAAGCCATCAGTCCAGCGGAGAAATTCCAGCTCTCCCTATTAAATTAGCATCAACTGAATAAATTGAGTTTCATTGGAGTAATATAACAAACACACTCACCTCTTTAGATCTGCACCCGTTTCATTTCTAAATGTGCCGTTCAGTAGCTCAGTCTTGCCGTCTGCATGCTCCCATCATTCCGAAGTTCAGTAGCTTTACCCCAATATATAGTCTTTCCCCAAGTTTTAAAGCTGTTTTAAATCCACAGTTGCCAGGATACACCCTTGATTTTGCTTGTGAAGTGCCATTGAAAGCCCAAAGCAGTCCACCGGACATGTCCAGACCCGAACAATGAAACAATTATGGAGCCTTTCTTACTCTCCAGAATAAAACCGCATCAAATGGGCAATGTTAGATCTTTCATGCCAAACACACATCTTTTCCCCCAGCTTGTTATTTTTTTCAGAGGTTTATTGACCCTTTTGTCTTGATTCCAAATCCGCTGTCATTCACTCTGAAGGGCCTTTATTAAAAGCAGGTCAGATTGACCCAGAACTCCAGGAGTGAATGAGCTTTTATCTACCAAAGATGTGAAACATTGTTGCCTAAGAAAAGTGAGCGCTCATTCAGCTTCTTAAAGTTCGTAAGAATACATTTTATAATGCGAACCTCACAAACTTGCATTCATTTAAACTGGAATCTACTAGAGATCTTTTTCGAGTTCACAACAAGACATGCTGTCTACTTTAAAGTTCATTGAAATCTCTTATGTAATGTTCTGAAAAATTAAATGTCTCTCTGGAATATCAATTTTGATATAATTCTGGAATTTCCAATTTCTGGAATATCAATTTTGTCACATTTTGTATATTTCACTGGTGTTTGTGGAAACATACATTCTCAGCAGTCTATTCTTGTAAGTTGAGGCTTCCTCTTTTCATAGAAACACAAGAAAAACCTACAGTGACAAAAAATAATCTCAGAGGATTTTGGTATTCATTTTTGGTAAAGCTTCCTGTCACTCTGGAGTCCTTGAACCAGTAAGAGAATATATAAATTAAAATTGTTTATTGCATTTGACTGGATTTTATTCACACGCATCACAGACATGACCACTGACCAGGATCGGCCAATAGTGAGCCTACTTTCTGACGTACAACACAGAAGCGCTGCGCTGTTACACTAACTTACATGAACTCACTAAGAAAATGAATAGTTGAATAAAGTCGTTATTTTAAGCACAAAAGTATTCTCGTTGCTTGATAAACTTATGGTTGAGCCACTGTAGTCACTTGGACTATTCGACAATGTTTGTGCTAACTTTTCTGGGCCTGCAAGTTTCAATAAAATATGGAGGAGTGATCCAGCTAGCTCTCAGATTTAATCAAACATTTCTTAATATGTCTTACGAGGAGGATCGAAAGTCTTACTGGCTTGGAACAACATGGGGGTGAGTACTGACAGAATTTTCATTTTTGGGTGAACTAATATTTCTTTAAATTGTTTGATTGAAACGTCCAATGATGCTCACTTTCTTGTGCACAACTGCGGATGACTTGAGACTATAACGTTTGCGACGCGCAAATGCACCAGGACCCACGTCAGATGTGATGTGGTTCAGTTTGCATATAAGAGCCTCACAGAATTCGTGTGCAGTAATGTTATGTTTAAACAGCATGCAGCACTGACTGATTGTATTAATTTTAAGACATAATTGTAATAAAATTACCTTTACACCACTATGTGGCCTTTTTACCATTACAGTGTACATGATTCCATCGTATATTTGGTTTACTGTTTGAGTATGGTGCCAATTTTATTGTTACCACCAAATATTTTACATGTTCTTAAAGATATCTTTAAGTCTGGTTTCAGACCCAACCTTAGGTTATCCAGCCACTCTGGTCTCGACTCGGACTCGACTCTCTTTGGTCTCGGTCTCGACTTGGACTCGACTCTCTTTGGTCTCGGTCTCGACTCTCTTTGGTCTCGGTCTCGACTCTCTTTGGTCTCGGACTCGACCCTCTATGGTCTTGGATTCAACTCTCTTTGGTCTCGGTCTCGACTCGGACTCAACTTTCTTTGGTCTCGGTCTCGACTCTTTAGTCTCGGTCTCGACTCAGACTCGACTCTCTTTGGTCTCGGTCTCGACTTGGACTCGACTCTCTTTGGTCTCGGTCTCGACCCTTTTTGGTCTCGGTCTCACCTCGGACTCAACTCTCTTTGGTCTCGGTCTCGACTCTCTTTGGTCTCGGTCTCGACTCGACTCTCTTTGGTCTCGGTCTCGACTCTCTTTGGTCTCGGACTCGACCCTCTATGGTCTCGGATTCGACTCTCTTTGGTCTCGGTCTCGACTTGGACTCGACTCTCTTTGGTCTCGGTCTCGACTTGGACTCGACTCTCTTTGGTCTCGGTCTCGACTCGGACTCGACTCTCTTTGGTCTCGGTCTCGACTTGGACTCGACTCTCTTTGGTCTCGGTCTCGACTCGGACTCGACTCTCTTTGGTCTCGGTCTCGACTCTCTTTGGTCTCGGTCTCGACTCTCTTTGGTCTCGGACTCGACCCTCTATGGTCTCGGATTCAACTCTCTTTGGTCTCGGTCTCGACTCGGACTCAACTTTCTTTGGTCTCAGTCTCGACTCTTTAGTCTCGGTCTCGACTCAGACTCGACTCTCTTTGGTCTCGGTCTTGCTCGGATTCGACTCTCTTTGGTCTCGGTCTCGACTCTCTTTGGTCTTGGTCTCGACTCAGACTCGACTCTCTTTGGTCTCGGTCTCGACTCGGATTTGACTCTCTTTGGTCTCGGTCTCGACTCGGACTCGACTCCCTTTGGTCTCGGTCTCGACTCGGACTTGAGTGAGCTGGTCTCGACTATAACACTGCTAATTAAACCCTTGCGCATTCTTACTGTCAAGGCAATTTAATTAGTGCACTTCGTTCTTGAAGTTTTTTCTTTCCCATCACCTTTTTTTATTAGATGAGGTTTTTGTTCTTCTTGAGACAGTTGTCCCTGAAGATGGATCTGATCTCCATTACAAAAACCTACAGTACTATGACTTGATACCATCCCAGATAGCAAACTGACATTAAATCAATGTGGAAACGACGTTTCTCATGACATCGAAACAATGTTGATCTGGAATTGTTTTGCATTGAATTGAATTGAAACGTCAGACGCGCCATTCTGCCATAAAGATCTGTTTCAGTGTGTTTGTTTGACGTATACAGTAGATTACATAACGGCATGCAAACTAACAATACAGCATTTGGCACCAGCTGTGACAGTTCTCAAGTTAATCATTAAAGCTTATCTAAGTTATTATAAAACATAATTTATGATCAGTGTTATGTGAAAGGGCAGCAGTCCACTGCAATGTCACAAACACACAAATAAAAAAGTTTACATCAAAATGTTGATAACAACTGTCTCATAGATTTGATTATCAGTGTAGTGAATTCATAAATGCTTTCACCAGTGCATCAACTCAATATTTGGCATTTGGTAATACCTGTGGTGTAAAAATGACTGGCTGTAAGTAAACATTGTAGTTTATTCTTCTTTTTTTCATGTTTTGAAAGCAATTTCTAAAAAGAACTAACATCAAACAATTTACAGAAAAAGAAAAAAAATAGTATACATTCTATTAATTATAATAACTTTGCGTTACAATGTCAGCTAGAGTATTAGTAGACAGTTTGCTTTATATCTGCTAACACTTTATTATGATGCTCCATAACAAACCTTCCACTGACTATAACTAACTTTACAAACCTGAAGTCTACTAATACTCTAATGAGACTTACATGAGAGTACATGAAACGGTTCAAACCCCATTTTACTTCCATAATTCAATGTATTTCTGATTGATATGAAGTTATTATTTTCTTCAGAATAATGTGCACTGATGAATCATTCACAAAAAAACAGGACCATATAGTGCTGTCATATCGATGAATCTTACATAAAAGTTTGAAAATATACAATATATGTGTGTAAATATAAAGCAAACAGGATCTGTTTTGATTTCATGTTGGCCTCGTTTTGCTAGATACTGAAAACTATGTTCATTTTGTGAATGTGAAGCATATTTACAGACTTATTAACAGAAAGGAATATGAAAAAGGGAAGCATCCATGTCAAATTTCGTCATCTTCAGAATCCATGTCAGTCCTCAGGTTGTCCTCATCCTCGCTGTCGTCATCTTCCTCCTGGTCTCCCTCTGGCTCACCGGTGTCGGGAATGATGACCACGTCCTCTTTGGTGTTGGGGTCGATGTCTTGCTTAAACCACACCGCTTTGTAGCCCTCCTCACCGCGCCGCTCTTTGGTCAGGATTGGTTTGACTTCCTTCTCGCCGTCGACGGTTTCTGAATCAGCCAGGCTGCTGGAGTCAGGAGGAGTACTGGTGCTGGTGTGGGGAGCGGCGGCGCTGCGGGTCCTGTTCTCCAGCGGTGGCCCGCTTTTCAGCCCAGACTCCAGTTTATTCTCCAGGTGTGCAGCTAACTTCGAGTTCACACTTCCAGAATCCCCGTCATGCTGGAAGCCCTCGTTGCTGTACTGCATACCCTCCTTGGGACCACCTGAACCCCCACCAAGCTGTGAAAACAAAACATACTAGAATAAATATGCTCTAGAAGTAGGCTACTATCATCCCAGCAAACACAGAACGTTCCCCTATAACGTTCCCGAATGGTGCCACAAGGTTATTTTTTTGGGAACCAAACAAGAACGTTATAGGAACGTTCCATGAACTGTAGGTTATTTTTAGGTTCCATTTTTATAACGTAAGGAGAACATTCCGGGAACGTTCCACTTACCTTAAGGGAAAGTTCTAGGAACGTTCTGGGAACCAAAAAATAACGTTCCCAGAATCTATTAACATTTAGACTCTAAAACAAATTACAAATATATTTACATTTGAATATGCGGTTCATATTGGAATTCAAGCCGGTTCAAACTGGTCTAAACCAGCTAAATTGTCATAAAGCTTGATGTAATGCAATTGCAGTTTTATGAGCGTTGAAGGTGACCAATTATTAGAATTTGATTGTTTAGATTATTAGATTATTTTTGCAATTCAATCTGAAAATGTAAGGATAGGTTTGTGAATGATATTTAATTTAATTTGATAATTAACGTGAACCATCGAACATGTGTCGATTAACTATTAAAGTCAATCTGAAATTTAAATTACGTAAAAGCAAATTACGAGAATATGCTTTTATAAGCTACTCAATTACATTTCAAAATTAACATAAGAGCATTTTTATGAACATTTAAATAATAAAAATTCTTGTTAAAAGGGTTTTAAAACCGATTTGATTTGTACAGTAGTAATCTACGAAGAATACTTTTATGAACTATTCAATTCAATCAGAAAGTATTTTTAGAAACATTGAATGTGACAGTTTATGTGAGAATACCTTTAGCAACGGAAAAT